TCCCACAACCTTTCTCTGAAGCTAAGCTGACTCTGAGATATTCCAACTTTGCAATTGGAGAACATTTGAAAATATGGCTTTACATCTGCACTGCGGGCATTAAACAGAGCCTTCGGCAACCCACAAGAGTGAACATCCCCCTCTCAGCACCTACCTAACACCAGAGGAGGACTGGGTGGGATGGAGATGTGTGTGGTGCAGCAGACTTCCTTTCTGTTTTACTCTCTTCCAACTGCTTGGTAGGAAGGGCACATTCTAAAATAGTAACATGAATTGACAGGTGGAAGTTCCCATGCTCAAGTTACAGATCCAAGTTTGGATACTATAAAGTCTGCTTTTTAAAAACAAACAGATTAAGATGTTGAGAAGCTCCTTTGAAAGACATGAAGAAAAAAAAAAAAAAGCAAAACCAGGTTTAAGTCAAAAAAAGGTAGAAATTATAATACATCAGTCAAAGTAGCTACATTTTTACCTATAAGAATAAAAATCTTAATCAATACACACAAACATATCCATAACTCAAGCCTGATTCGGCAGACTGCTAACCGTGTGCCATTTTGGAACCCAATTCCTAAGAAATAACCTTACAGTATTGCCATAAAATTAAGCATCTTTTTGAGACTTTACAGAACAATTAAATCCTTAAAATACAATTTTGAGCCTCCTTTATTTTCACGAAGGCAATATGTTAACACTAGTTTTGTTTCCAATTACTATTCCTTTGGCAACCAGCATGTGTAAAAATAAAAAAAGATTTTTCATTTCTGTACCTTCCATTTGATAAATAAATCTTTTTTAAAAACTCAGTTGAGCCGGGACCGGTTTGGCTCAATGGATAGAGCGTTGGCTTGGGGACTGAAGGGTGCTGGGTTCGATTCCAGTCAAGGGCATGTACCTTGGTTGCGGGCATATCCCCAGTAGGGGGTGTGCAGGAGGCAGCTGATCGATGACTCTCTCTCATCGATGTTTCTGGCTCTCTATCTCTCTCCCTTCCTCTCTGTACAAAATCAATAAAATATATTTAAAAAAAAAAAAAAAACTCAGTCGATATTAACATTTGAAGTGACATTTTAAACCTAATATTAATACCCTAAATAATGAAAGAGTGTACTAGAAAAGAATTTTTCTTTGCATGACTGAAATATTGTATTCAAAACACTGCCATCCTGCAACTGCATAATGAACAGAATGTATCTAAGATGTGCTAAAAACTGGATTGGAATGATAAGTAGGCAGAAAAAAAACATGTTGAAAATATGTCAAATTCTCAGCTTAAAATGTTCAATATAATTGCTTAGAGCAATGATTTAAATACAGGACTTAATTTATGAGTCAAGTTACTGTACATAAAATCAAGGCCTTTAATGTTCAGACATATGTAATACTTTCAACAATAATTTAAAAATTTAATGTTCAACACTACCTTCCTACCAACTTCTTCCCTCCAATACAGGACCTCTGAACTACCCTGTTGGATTGCTTTTTACAGCGTGAAATTGTGTGTGTCTCTTACTGGCCAGCAGCACCACAGAGGCCATGACAAGACTATAGGAGCTCTCCGGTGCCTGTGCCTGGCACAGGGATCGCCATGTTTGCTTGCAGGAGGCCTTCTACAGAAAGTGTGCAGGCACAGAGAGTGGGAGTCACACCTCCTTTTCTCTGAGGGTTGTGTTTGCTTCTGAGTTCAGTGTGAACATACAACATGGATTATGATGATGATGCAGCTATTCACTAATACAGAAGGTGAATGTCATGGCCTCAGTAAACATCTGGATGTAAACATCTCAATAAACCACTAGGAAAAGTTTAACTTCAATGTACCAGCATGGAGATGAAGTCACAAATTTATGTATCAGCCTTTTGGGAAGAAAAGTAGTAAAGCTGGATTCTACCCATTAAAGTTAGAGATGTCAAAATTTAAATCCCAACTGACTTTTGAATACATGAATCCCCAAGTGAATGCAATAATTCAAACATACTTGGAAAAAAATTAAACTACGTCTTGCAAGAAGTAAGATAATCCGTTTAGAAAGTTAGATCCCATATTACTATGCATATTTAAAGAAAATTATGTCACATATTAATATGTAAAATTACAGAAAAAATGAAGAATACCCCAGTTCGCTTTGACTGGCACAACATTGTTGTTGCAAATTAAATTGTAAATATCAAATTGCTGAAAAGTTAGGGTTTATGGTCAGGGTCTGGATTACCGACATTACTCACTAGCAAAGGATCTTAAAACTGATTGCTCCTGCTACTCATTCTCACCACACACAACTCTCCTAGGCTCCATATACCACTATGTTTCTAACATTACTGTTCCTTAATAAACAAAAAAACCCTCCCATGTGCCAATGGGGAAGTATAGACTGCTCTTTCCTCTCAGTATGCCACACAAATATGTATCTTAGATTATACTTGCAGCAAGACCAACAGCAGGTCTATTAACTTGTTAATGCAGTCTAAGACAGTGAGTTTTTATAGAGCATTTAAAATAAACAAATATTTTACCACATCTTTGCTACTTTTAATGTATACAGATGAGCAAACTACTGCCAAAGTACTCACATAACTACACACAAATTAGAGTAATCCTTCCCTTTTAGATGGACAAACATACTAGCACATAAATATATAAATTATTATATGTTAGTAAGTAAAAGGTTACATTTTTTAGGAGACTGTCAATCAGTATCTTTCCTGCCCACATGGCTTTCTTGCTGGCAGACTAGAAATAAGTAAGGAACTCCAAGTCTAAGTCAGGGTTTCTCAACCTTAGTGCCACTGTATTTGGGACAGGAAATTTTGTTATGGGGACTGCTCTGTTCATTAAAGAACACTTAGTAGCATTCCTGACACACTGAATGCCAGTAGCACCCTCTCCCCAGCTACCTCAACCATAAGTATCTCCAGGTTTTGCCAAGTATCCCCTAAGGGACAAAGCTGCCCCGAGCTGAGAACCATCAGTCTAACCAACTCCAAGTCCTTTAGTCTATAATAAGCACAGGGCAGGATTTGACCAACAGATGACTCCATGTTACATATGAACAAAAACTAAAAAGAAATGCATTACTATTTATTAAGCAATCACTTGCTTTCCTTTCAACCTGCTTTCTTTTTTGTCAGAATGCTATCTCAGGGCGTAAGATCTATGGCCAACAGTGTCTAATAAGCCAGTGTCTCCTAGCCCCCTGATTCCATCTCAGCAGACCCACGGCAGTCGCCTGAGCCACTCCAGTCCCAACAAGACAAGACGGAGTGGTCAGGGGAACTGTTCTCCCTCAGGGGATCTCACCAGTCCTCCTCAGGCACACCTTGGTTTTATGGCCTGTGGTTTCAACTGAAACAAGTTGTTCTGCATACTTCCTACTATAGCTGTACCTGCGACCTCTGGTTTCAGTTTGTCAGTAACTTCACTGATGCCTGGGTCCAGATATGATTTTTTCCCAAACACTTTAGCCCCAACATTCCACGAGGCTCCAAGGCAAGATTTGCTCAGAGCACCCTTGGAAGTAGGAGCCAACAAACATGTTTTGCCTAGTCCCCAGCCTACTCAAACACCGGCTATCCGGTTTCAAAACAGTATGATTTTAAGGAGAAAAGACATTTGACAGCGACAACTTAGAAAAAGAATTTCCAAGTCAAAAATTTATTTTGCCCATCAGATAGGTCTAATGAGAGAATGACGATTAGGAAAAATAAAACAAGTTTTTCCAACGTTACTGTTCAAGGAAATTAAACATAACCCCACATACACAGAAGTAAAAACGCCATTCTGACGCTGAAACTTGGGATCGATCAGCTATTTCAGTGAGTCAGAATTAATCAGAAATGCAGACCACTGCATCGCTGCCATGCACGTACCATCGCTCTATAGCTTAGAAATGCGTATTCACCAGAACTCGAAGCTTATAGGTTCAAATGGCTTGTTCATTTAAAAATATGTATTGTTAGGCTCTGAAGAGATTAATCCTCCCTGGGATCTTACGATATACTGTTAAAAGATATGTAGATATATAGGGTTATTTTTCTTTAGAAAAAAACTGTTGAACCCATTTAAGATTTTACAGTCAATTTCTTAATAATTATTGAAGCTACTATAACAGGGATACTAACCATAGAAACTAAATCTTGGTTTGAAATCACAGAAACTAATTTTTTTCATTTCTATTATTTCCATAGATAAATACTTTATTCTGTTTTTCTTCCTTGAGGGGGGAATGTTTATTAGGTTTAAGAGCCACAATATAAAGAGTAGTCATCATTACAAAATTAAGCCATTTTCCTGTCACATTTATCTAGTAACAGAAATTTATTCTGATTGACTGAAAGCAAATTAGATTTACAGGGGAAGAGATCTCACAGAAGCTCAACACCAGATTTCCCCAAATCATAGGAACACATGAGCACCATTTCCCACCTAAAACCCAACAGCATCACCTGCAAGCGTTTTTACGGCCCCTCACTTTCACTTTCTCATCCATAGTATTAAAACAGTTCATTTTTTAGAAACCAGCCACAATTAACAAAGTCATTAGCTTTGCTTGCTGGTCCTAGGTGCCTCTGCTTTATCACTGTCCCTCTCTCGTTTATGATAGCAGCTAGGTCTCAACTCCAAACATATAAAAACTATCTTTAATTAAGCATTTTCACTCTGCGAGTCCTTACATAACTTTTAAGTTAGCTTTATAAGTATAACAAGTATCGTCACCATTAGCAACTGAACACCACCAGGCTGGACAAGCATTCAAATATAAACTGCCATTTCGGTTAGCAGAGAGATTTAAAATAAGACCACGACTCGTTATCGATTACAGAGAGCTTCCGAGTCTCAGTCCCTACGCTATTTTTTTTTTTTAAGTAGCTATTCTGGAAAGAGAACAGAGGAAGACAGAGAGAAAGGATCTTTCAATAACCAGGAACCCTCGGGAATTCTTTTCAGTTAAGCCACAAAGCCCTAAGTTTAAATACATATATAAGCAGCCAGTGAAACTTACTTGACAGTGACTCGATTCGATAAGTCCTGTAGATCCCCAGGATGGAAAAGCTGGGCTTCTTTCAATCCAATCTGTTCACAAGCTTTCAAAAAAACGTTTATATTATCCTGTGGGGAAAAAAGTGGAAAGTGATTGCTTAGCCGAGAGCTCTGTCTCAGACAAAGGTTACAAAATTTTTATAAAACTTCAAGCTTCAAAGTCCAATTACAGCCAGCACACACAAAAAAAAAAAGGAGACAGCAAGACCGATGAATACATGTATTTAAAAAAAAAAATGCACGGGCATGTATAGCCTTTCAGTCCTCCAGAGCATTCATGGGGGTGCTATCTGCTGCCCCGACATACGCCGTTTCTGTGATCTTTGTGACTGGCACGTTAAACATTACCTGTTACAGGACAAGTGCCTAGCCACTGAGCAGTAATCTACACTTTGATGTCAGCTCTGCTCTGCAAACAAACGCCCTCCTTCCCAGCTTTGCACGACAAGCCTCACCTCTCCTCTTTAAAAATAACTCCAGCTACTGACATTCACCCACCCAGAAACTGTTGGCAGGGAGGAAATAAGAGGAGGAACATTCTGTTTCTATGATTACAAATTACAGAAAGGCAGTGGAATACCACACCTGGAATCTGGGTTTGGTTGCTGAGCCGGCTCTTGACAGACAGGGAAACCATACTATAGGACCCGGGAGAAGCCTGGCTTTCATTGGCTGAATCGCAGAGCTTAGGTGTGGCACATTGCTCAACGCCCTGCAACCTGCCTCAGGAACTGCCTCCAAAAAAATACAAATCTAGGCTGTCCTCATATCTAATTTCAAAGCCAAAACCATCCCTTTACAAGCCTATGCTTTCCACTTACATGAACTGCTACACAGACACTGACTACAGTGTGTTCTATGCTACAGCCAGCTGCATTTCAGAGGCACGTATTTGGTGAGCAGAATTAGCATGAGCTTTCTTCCACCTTTACTCTTCCTAAGGAAACCCTTTACAGGGTTGAACTTGTGGTGATCCCACGTGAACTCTTGACATTCACTTCGTCAGGGTTCTCAGGCAAGAGAACGGGCTCCTCACTTGCCAACACACGTCTGTCCACTTACACATGCTGGCAACGCCACGTCCATGGTGTGAGCCTCAGAGCCTCCCTGAAACCTCACCTCCTTCCCTAACAGCCGGCCAAGACAAGTAGGGACAGAAGACAAGCTACACTTGAAGAAGGGCCAATGCTCCTTTTCCGTGTTGAGAAGCTCATTCTTGGAGGGGAAAAAAGGCAGGAGGTTATGGCAAAGTGGGAGAGAATGATAAAAAGAGAAAGATGAAGGGACTAAATTGAATAGTTTGGATTCGTCAAGAGTGAGGGGATTTAGGGAAAGGGCAAGAAAATATATAGCAAGAGAAGAGCAATGCTGGTTGCTAGGAAACTCAAGCACATTTAAAAAAAAAAGGGCTTTGTAAAGTCTTTATTCTAGTGTACTATCAGGAAAAGGCAGTGAGCTGTCTGGGTGAAAGCTCAAATCCATGATTCATTTTAAATAAGAGGTCAAAGATTAAAAGAATGTATATGTCAAAAGTAAAACAGCTCAATGAAAGGTGTTTTATATGACCCTATGTGGAAAAAAGGGAAATAACTTTGGGGGGTGGATAGGGTGGGGGTGGGGGTAAAAGTGGCCATTTTGTTGGTAAGCTCATATAATTTCTAGAAACTGTACTATCTGTAATTACCAAATGATTCAAATTCATGGTTCTATGACTGACCCTCAGACAAGCAGACAAGAGTAAGTGGTTTGGTATACCAGTAGTCCAAATCCTATAGGATGCAGATCTCATATCCAACAAGGAAAAATAATCCATAAGAAGTCTTCCCACAAATCCAATTTGGTTCTAAAAATTTTAAATGTTATAAAACATTAAAACAAAGTTAAATTAGAAGTAAACTGCCCTAACAGGTTTGGCTCAGTGGATAGAGCGTCAGCCTGCGGACTCAACGGTCCCAGGCTCAATTCTGGTCAAGGGCATGTCCCTTGGTTGCGGGCACATACCCAGTAGGGAGTGTACAGGAGGCAGCTGATCGATGTTTCTCTCTCATCGATGTTTCTAACTCTCTATCCCTCTCCCTTCCTCTCTGTAAAAAAATCAATAAAAAATATATTTTTTAAAAGTAAACCTACTTAACTGACAGTCAAAATTATTCTTCACATATTTTATAGAAACATAATCACATTCATTCAGGTGACAAATATGTACAGGCTGATAAGGATAAAGCTACACATGCCTCAAAACCCATCCAAAGTATTTAAAAATGAACCACTTAAAATATAACATGACTACACTTCATTGGAGACAAAGAAAAAATACAATTAAATAGAAATAAATTCTATTTTAAATAAAACCTCTTCAGTAAAAAACAGAATCTTTTAAACAATTGGATGTGCTCACGTTTAAAACAGACAAACTTCATAAACAAAGCCACCCATGTCCTAAGCAGCAGGAACAGGTTGGACTAGAAATCAGAATTGTAACTTAAATCATGCTTACTGGACTTGAGCCCATTGTTAATTTATTTTATGCGATTTCCAAGAGTTGCCTAAGGGGAGATAGAAAATTATAACATTTTCATGTCTGATGAAACATCAAGAAACTACACCCAGTTCAACGTATTAAAAGGGAAGCATGTAGTCCTGGTTTCTGGAATCGTTTTCAGTAGGAACTCGCAAAAACAAAAGTGAAAACAAAGGACAAACCTGAAACAAATCTTATCTCACTGGACAGGTAGCCAGGACTCCAAGTTAGCTCTGTCAGCAACCAACTATGTGGCTTTGGAAATATTAACCTTTCTGGCCCCGTTTTCTGCATCTGTTTGTGGGTCTGTAAACCGTTACCAAGGGCACACACTTGTGTCTACATGGGCAGGGAAGCCCAGTCCCTCCTAGCCCAGCCCTCCACACAAATATTTCATAGCCCAGCTTACATAAGATACTTCAGGTTCAAAGCCTATCTAAACATCAGCAATTCTTACACACTGAGGACCAAAGGTGGCTTCTTAAAAATAAGGCCCCCAAAAAGCTGATCCCTGAAGATCTGATCTAGCTCCTTTCAGGTTTAAGTTCTTCTATGGCTATGAATAAAAACAAATACTATGTAAACAGAAATAGCAGGATGGCTGAAGATTTTCATATTCTCTCAAACCCCCTCTCCACCCTTTGGCTTTGAATCAATTATGAGGGCAGTCATGAACAGGTGTGGGATAGAGGGGAGAAGGGTAAATTAGAGAGAGATGAATGAGTCAGGAACAGTACCTTGCTATAACCACTGAGGCAAGAGGAGGAAGCCACAGAAATTCACAAAGATTCCCAGAGTTATATTAGTCTGCTGTAGTATCTCTACAGATTATCTACTGCTGCATAGCAAACTGTCCGAAAACTCAGCAGCTTAAAACAATAAACATTATGATTACGCACAGTTTCTGAAGGTCAGGAATTTGGGAGTGGCCTAAACTTGATGGCTGTGGCTTGAGGGTCTCTTGGGTTGCAGACAGATGTCAGATGAGGCTGCAGCCAACTGAACGCTTACTGGAGGCTGGAAGAAGCTGTCCCCAAGGTGGCTTCCTCAGACAGCTGGCAAATCAGGGCTGGCTGTTGGCAGCAAGCCTCAGTGCTTTGTGAAATGGGCACCTCCACAGGGCTGCCTGATAGAGGGAACCATCCCAGAGAAAGCAAGATGGAAGTTGCAATGTCTCGTAACCTAGCTTTCCAAGTCACACTCCAGCACTGCCCCATGTCCTCATGGTTACACAGGTCAGCCTTATTCAACATAGGGAGGACTAAGAATATAAATAGCAGGGGGTGAGAATTACTGGGGACCATCTTGGGGACTGGAGACCACAGTTCACTTTCTGGTTCCAATGATTCATGTCCTCACTGATCCTTTCCCAAAGTGCAGGAAACTCTCATCCCTTTATAAGGTGAGCTCGAAACCTGGAATTGCATCATCTAAATCAGATCCAGGTACACATGAGGTGCCTCAGATACAGTTCCCTAAGTATAGCCCTTAAGCGCTTAAATCTTAAATGCCAGTGAACCAATAAAACAAGTTATCCACCCTTCCTCCCCCCGCCTTCAACAGGTATAGGGTAACTACTGGAGATACTCCAGTTCTACCTGTGGAGAAATGAATGCCTAAAATTCTGAAATCCTGAAAGCGTAGATTAGTGGGGAGAGCCATTCATTAGAATTCCAGGCCAGGAAATACTTCTTCCTGCTTTTTTTGCTTTACTCTCTGAATGCTTGGTTCACCTTGACTATCATTTTTCCATTTCTTTGAAAAGCAGCTTCTGTTTGCAGCAGTGTTAGCTTTCTCAGTCGGCTTCCTCCCCATTAAAATTTGGGAAACTACAAGTCTCCTCGTTTTGCAGTCCTCTCTCCCTTTCAGTTGGAAGTTTGGGTGTTTCTGAACATACAATTCTCTCGAAAATATCCTGTCTTCTGTGAATGGTATTGGATTTCATTGGATTATACCAAAAAAAGCCACACCCACAAATCCCTTCACAAGAACACCTTCTCTATCTTGGTCTGCAGAGATGACTGAGGGACACCACCGTTAAGCTTCTTAGAAGTCCCAATGCTGGTCTAGATAAATTTCTAAGGCACAACTTTGAATCTTTCTAAGATCTTAAAAGAATTTTACAGCCACACCCTCAGCTTCATCTTTTTATTTTTTCCTTAAATCTTTATTGTTGAAAATATTACAATGTCCCCTTTTTTCTCCCATTGACCCCTTATTGCTCTCCCTCACACCCTACTCCAGGCCTCCACCACCCTATTGTCTGTGTCCATGAGTTATGCATATATGCATACAAGTTCTTTGGTTGATCTCCTCCCACCCTCCCATCTCTGTCTTCCCTCTGAGATTCGACACCAGCTTCAACTTTAGACCTTGTTTTTTCTGATAGAGCTCTGAATTTAAACTTTGCCAGAAAGCCACGTGTCAATTCTAGCATCACCTGACCAAAGAGACTGATAATTCTCAAAACCAGCAATTTCTATGCTTCTCATGTTTATAATCCTAACCTACACTCTCCCACACTTCACTGTAATCAGCCAGAGGAGGC